TCAGCTAACGTGTTTCTAACACCTAACAATATATCACTCACTCTTGCTCAGTAGCACTCCTGCTGCACAGAGTAACCATCCAGAAAGCGAAGATGCTTAACAAGGCATGTGGTTTATAGCAGCATTCCCACATGGCTTAGATGCATTTTGAATTGTAAATCAAGCAACAGCTTAGTGATGATGGACACCTCAAGCAAGGCATATTTTTGTTGCTTTAGTGGGCAGGTGTTTAAATACAGCTGCGTGTTTTTGTACTGCTTGTGCCTGACAGCACATTAACTAAAATTACTGTATCAGATAACTGCAATATTGGCAGAGGAGCACTGAACGATGCTGCAGCATAGATAGTTGGCAGCAACTTATTTGAAGTGTTTCCTGGTCATCCTTTTTACCTTGTCTATAATACTTAAGGAATACTTCACCTCCTCTAAATTTCTGCCTAGAGTTTTTAAACAAAGAGATTGAGATGGAAGGAGATGGAAGATCAGGCTTTACTTGAAACCTGGTACAGAGAAAGGAGATTTAACACAGTATAGTTGTCTGTAAAGCTGCTAGTTTTTTTTTCCCTGAAACTACAGTTTCAGTGTAGCATTTTAAAATGATGCAGATAACATGAGTCACAGTAACAAGCATGGGCTGGACCTCTTTAGCTGTAAGAAGTGCCATAAGAATATGCTATAGACTTCACTGCCTTGTCCTGGATTCTATTTTGGAGAGCTGATGGCATTTGGGATTCAGCCATATGCCTGGCTGAGTCTGTAGCACATACAGATCTGGTGGGTATTCAGAGATGTAGCACATACAGATCTGGTGGGTATTCAGAGATGTAGCACATACAGATCTGGTAGGTGCATCTGTTGTGGCATGCATGCTGCTCTGGAGAGGAATGCATGTCTATGCCCGGCTGTTCTCCAAACCCTGGGTGCTGAGGCCTTTGAAGTGAGATTTACATAACACAAAACCTTTGCTGCTTATTTGCACTGGGCTGGAAGAGGCCTAAAGGAACATCTTTGGAATACTTTTTTTTAAAAGGTGGCAGTCACCACTAATGATGATTTAACATGCAAAACAAAGCAACCCATAAGCGTGGTCACCATGGAGACACCACTTGCCAACACCAGATGCCCTGGCTCCTTCACCAGGAGAGTGCTAACAGCTGGGAAGCACTGGCTTGGTGCAGATTCCTCCAGCTCCAGGGAGACTGAAGGAATGCTAAGAAGTCATGCTAAGAAGACCTGGAAAGGTGTTCTTGCGTCTGCTCTACAATCTCTATGGTCAATTGAGGTTTGCTCCCTGCATAGCTGTAGCCTTCTTGTCATTTAGAACATGCTACTTGCAGTATTCTTCTGCCACACACAGAAGAATAAATCTGTCTCAGCAGTGATTTAAGCAGCCACATCGATCTCTGCCCACAGTCAACACATGTAATAATGTCAGAACCTCTCACAGAGCCTCCAAGGATGCAGCTTCTAAAAATCTGTTGTCATCCTGCTTTGTGCCCAAGAGAAAGACCTAAATCTTTTGTGTTTAGTGGGTGGGGAAAAGCCTGCTGTGAACAATTTCCAAGAAATGAGATGGGGCTGGGTTTGATGGAGTCCCACAGTCTTGGAGTGAATACTTGTAGAGTGATAACTCCTTCAGAGTACCACAACATTGTGGTATTACTAACTCCACTTTCAACAGAACTTACATTGCACCTACAGTAGATGTTCTTCAGGAGGACTGTTACCACAGTATCTACTCCATGAGACACAATTCTTCTGAAAAAAGTTCTTGTGAAAACAAAAAGCAAACTTTGTACATTAGGTTTCCTTTAAGGAATGAGGAATCCTTTCCCTCCCCATCTTTCTCTAGCTTTCCCAAAAGGAAAATTTATAGGATAGTACAGACCAGGTAGACGCTGTGCAAGCTGTCTTCTGCTGCTCTTCAGGTGCAGTGCAGCTCTCTATAGTCATCTGCTACTTCAGGTCCCAGGAGAAAGCTATTTTTGTGTAGAAGTGTCTCTGCAGTTCCCTGATGAAGGAAAATGCTGTCTCTGAAGAAAGCAGAACCTACAACCTCCCCCCTTTTGAAAACTGAGCCAAATGCACAATCAGAGCCACCTGTCCCAAGCAGGGAGCCAGCCAGGATCTCCACAGTTAACCTGATTGCTCAGGCCTGGGCCCTCAAGAAAAGCTCTCTTGGTTGCAGAAGCAGGAATCTCCCAGCAGGAGCAATCCAACACCTTGTTTGTATGAAGTGCCCTCTCTGTTGTTGAAATATGATTTCAAAAGGGTTTTCCCAAGATTGTTTCTTGTCTTCTGGTGACTAGCTACTTCTAGTGCTCTGGGGGTTTGCTGGGATCAGTGAAATCTGTTTATGCTCACGAGAGAGCAAAGCAAGGATCACAACCCCAGACAGAACACCTGAGAGGATCAAAGGATGAACAGAGGGAAAGGAACACGTCAGCATCTTGTGGCATGATTACCTTTCTTCAAGGGGTTGGTCTGGAAGCACTGGGCCTGATGAAAATGGACTCTGCTTCACAGCAGACTTGAACAAATTACTCCTGGCTGCTTAGACCACCTCCTGACTGAAACAAACCAAGACCAAAGCACCTGCTTCCAAACAGCTCTGAAAATGGCATTCTCCTGGCTCTCCAAAGTAAAGCACAAGCAGACTGAAAGCACAGCACTCACTGCACTGCCCTGCTACTCATTTCAGCTTTGATACACACAAGACTTCTCCCAAATAGCTACATTAGAGTCCAGAGCACTGTCATCTTAGTTCAATATTGGATTTCTCCCAAATGCTGCAGGAATGTCTCAAGTGCAGAAGGGAGAAGGGTGGCAAGATCCTGCTAAGAGCAGTTTTGGCTGGGCCAACTATTAGTTTGCATCAGCCGGTGGCTTTTCTGTGAGTAACAATTATTTTGTACACAAAGGCAGTTTCTAAACCTTGCCAAAATTCAGCTCTCCCCAGTGGTCTTTGGGGTATGAGCACTGAGAGCCAAGGCTCCAAGGAAGGCGTCAGCATTTAACAAACAATGAGGGAGAAGCATCAGCAGGGAACATTGCAGAATGCTGAAAGGATTTCAGGTGGTCAAGGCTCTCAGGTTTTCAGGGGGAAGGACTTTGCAGCTCCTGGGTATTTCTCTGCAGGCTGCCTTGCTCTGTTACACTGTCTGATGCGCTCCACCAGAGGAATTTTGCCCCTTTGTTATCAGTTCCTCTTTGTCCAAAAGCTTTCCACCCTGAAGGCCAGCACACAGGAATTTCCAGCTGTCTATCATGATGCTGAGGATTATTTCTTTCTCCACATCTCCCTTCAGTTACTTTTTCTGCCTTCTGTTCAGGCTTGTTATGACTTTTTTACTCCGAGTAAGACAGTTTTAACCTTTAGATACATCAGTTTTCATCTCACTATGGCACTGGTTTCCATCATCTTTAACTTGCTGTTTGATCAAATGCCCAGTGAAGTCATTGGGCATCCTCCCCTAAATGTCAACAAACTTCTGACTGGGTTTGTAACAGCAAAGTTGCATGTGGGGCCACAGCATGGCCCTGTAGCTAATGATCTGGCACAGATTTTTATAGGATGTATCTTCCTGCTGTAAGACGGCTTTGGAGCAGCCTGTCTTCTGCAGAAGTCTCTCTGACTGAGAGGTGTTGAGCTTTGCAAGAACCAGAACACTCGGTTGCAAAATACCCTCTGTGATGAAGGAAGGCACAGTTTGCTTCTGCTGCCCTGCCTTGCTTTCTTCCTTCTGTGCAGTGCTGGAAACTGCCTGCTTCTTTCCTCAGTTTCTGCTCAGACTCGGAGCAGCTAGAACAAGTCCAGAGGAGGCCACGAGGATGATGCGAGGGCTGGAGCAGCTCTGCTGTGAGGCCAGGCTGAGAGAGTTGGGGCTGTTCAGCCTGGAGAAGAGAAGGCTCCGGGGAGATCTTATAGCGGCCTCCTAGTACCTGAAGGGGCTCCAGGAAGGCTGGGGAGGGACTTTGGCCAAGGGCAGGGAGTGACAGAACAAGGGGTGATGGCTTGAAAGTGGAAGAGGGGAGATGGAGATGAGATGTGAGGAAGAAATTGTTTGGTGTGAGGGTGATGAGACAGTGTCCCAGGTTGGCCAGAGAAGCTGTGGCTGCTCCTCCCTGCTCCTCCTCTGGGTCCTGCTTTCTGTTTCCTCAGTTTGTGGCTGCGGATATCCAGTAGTACAGGAACGTTGTTGGTACTTGCTCTGGTGAAACGCACAACAGAAGGGACATGGAAGGCAGATTTTTCAAGGACAGTATTAATCGGAAATGTTTTGGTGCTCAGAGGAAGAAGGACATTAAAGGGA